TCTTAGAAAATTTCAACTGGTTCTTTCTGATGCTAATTATAAGCATCCTTTTTGTTTCCATTATCCTTAAAACTATATCCTTGCTCGCATCTTCAGTTTATGGTATTCCCAGCATCCTTTAGTGAATAGATTGTCCAGCATTCACTGCCATATAGGAGGACTTATATTACATAAAAGTTCAACACTCTTTCCTTTTTTTTCCTTTTTTTTTCTAACGAAACTTTCCTGTTTCTTAATACTTTGTTTAGCTTTTGGAAGGCATCTTTCTCTATTCCAATGCGTACTTCGGATTTCGGTGTCACATTTTTCTTCTTATATTATGGCATTTGCTAGATTTTAGTATCCCTAATGGAAATATTATCTTCCATGAAAAAAAGGCTCCTTGACATTCTGCTAGATCCGACAAAATCAGGCTGACAGAAAACGATTTTAAAATCATGTTCTAGCCTCGTCAGTGATTAGATATGATCCTAATGGTAATATTAGCTGTTTCCTTATAAGGAAACATTCGTCATTCATTAACCATGTTGCCAGTGCTACTCATGTTATGCTTTTTTTCCACTCCGTAGCCATCGGACAAGGATCAAAGTATAGTATCTGCCTTTAGGCGGACTACATTATCTTTCAATTGTATTTCTGTCCTCGGAGAGAACACAATAAATAAATGATGGATGCCTGGTCCCGGCGATTCCAGACCTGCGGTAGCACCTCCCTCATTGCATCAAAAAGGGAGGATCGGTGGAATATCGACACTATCCATTCCAGTTGTTACTGCTGCTGAAAGTCTTCAAGTGATGTGGTTTCTGTTATTTGGCACAATTTTTTATGATTCTGTAGCGCCCGAACAGGAGGTTCAAAGAAGTATGATACCCTCTATGACCTAAAGGTTCATTCACTCGAAACCATTTTTAGCCATTGATCTGAGAATGCGATTGCATACGCTTTAAAGTTTACGAATTTGGTAGCATTTATGACATCCGAATTTAAGTAAAGGTTGACACAGGTAAAAATGGCACAAATGGAAAAAACTCTCCCTCTGGTAGTAATTGATGTTATTGCTATGAATAATAAAGAGTGGTGTCCTCTTATTTTGTTACCCTCCTCTGAGAGAAATATTTCTGTTTACTGGGACTATAAAAGGACACTATACGTGATCCTTGTATTCTCAGTTGAATAAAGCTTTCTTATAGCCTACACCTGCGTAGTTTTGTCATTACATTTATAATCTGTTTTTTGTATAGATGTGTTGGAAGTAAATCTTCTCTTTTCCTTTATCACTTAATGTAACTTCCATGATGGTGTTGTGGTAGAAGAGCCACTGAGTTCAATGGTGTGTACTTGATGGTTCCCGGATAACTGAACCAGTAAATAAACAGACAACAATTGACCTCTTAAACTTAAATAGCTTAAAATTAAACAGATACTGGTGTTTAATTTTTTTCATTTGTTCCCTTCTTTCCTATTTTTTCACTTGAACCATTTTTACCAGTGCCATTATAACTGTTCACTGTGACATCTACCGTTCTGGGTATGGAGATAAATTACACCCGCATCCTGAGTAAGAAGATATACTACACCCGCATCCTGGGTATAAAGATAAATTACACCCGTTTCCTGGGTATGAAGATAAATTACATCTGCATCTTGGGTATGAAGAAAAACTACACCCGCATCATGGGTATGAAGAAAAAGTACACCCGCAACCTGAATATGAAGATAAACTACACCCGCAACCTGGGTATGAAGATAAACTACATCCGCATCTTGGGTATGAAGATAAACTACACCCGCAACCTAGGTATGAAGATACACTACATCCGCATCTTTGGTATGAAGATAAACTACATGCGCATCTTGGGTATGAAGATAAACTACACCCGCATCTTAGGTATGAAGATAAACTACACCCGCAACCTGGGTATGAAGATAAACTACATCCGCATCTTGGGTATGAAGATAAACTACATCCGCATCTTGGGTATGAAGATAAACTACATCCGCAACTTGGGTATGAAGATAAACTACACCCGCATCTTTGGTATGAAGATAAACTACACCCCCAACCTGAGTATCAAGATAAAGTTCTTCCGCATCTTTGGTATGAAGATAAACTACACCCGCATCTTGGGTATGAAGATAAACTACATCCGCATCTTGGGTATAAAGATAAACTACACCCGCAACCTGGGTATGAAGATAAACTACATCCGAATCTTGGGTATGAAGATAAAGTACACCCGCAACCTGGGTAGACGATAAACTACTTCCGACATCAAATCCTCTGATCAGGAGGTTTTGAGGAGCGTGGAACCACCTCTTAATTGCTGGTATTCCCAGGTCTACTTCGACCTGGGGTGGTAGCACCTGTTAGAGTCCCAACTATGGCTAAATAGTTACCCCCACGGGTGGCAAAACTCTTTGAAAGTATAGCTTTTAATACCAGCAGTACATTTTTGAAAAAGAAAAATATTATCAGCAATACATTTTTTGAAAAGAAAAATTATTACCAGCAATAAATTTCTGGAAAAAAATATTAGCAGCAATAAAAATCTTGCCGGCATTAAATAAATCATATTTTGATATGCTGTAAGACAAACCAAAACAAACGAAACTAAAATGTTAGGGGAAGATAGGTTTATGAAGTTGCTTGAAACTCTCCAGAAAATAGGAAAAAAAATATGTTGAAGAAAAAAAAAAATCTAGTTTAATAAACCAAATAAACATTTGTTAACTTATTATAATGCTTTTTTTCTGTGCTGTTATTAATAGGATTCCTGTTTCTCTTTTCAAGTGTCCTTTGTGCGATCATTCTCATGTAATTTTGACTTCAATTACTTCCCTTGAATTCACCATGAAGTTTTTATCAATTTTGCTACAGCTTCTGTTGTAATCAATGCTTTTTTTTCTTCTTCATTGTGTGTAATCCATAAATTCTTTTTATAACTGATTTCATATAATATTCAAGAGTGATGAGTTCAGTTTTCTTTTTCACATATAGACTTCTTTATTGTTAAATATAATCCACTTACAATTGTAACATGAGGACTGTTTCTGGATTCAGTCATTCACATGCCAACACACTAAAATGCTACAGAAATATAAACGTGATAATCTTTCTAGTACAGTGAATGAACAAAGATTATTAGAATACATTTTAGTGATGTTTAAAAAGCAGTTATTTAACATCCTAACTGGAGAACATTTATAAACTCAAAACAGAATAAAAGGTTCTTAAACAGAGATACTTTGTGGGATGTTACTCAAGAAGAGAGAGTTTATCTCTTGATGCTTTACAAAAGCTGATTGATTAATTAATTGACTGTCCTGGAACATTGAATGTTCTTAAATTTGTTCATACGAAATATTTATTTACTGTTCTGAAGTTTATTATATTTGGGTATTTTTCATATTATTAATGCGTCAATTTCCATATGAAGAAGGTTAAAGCCGTATCCCAACAAAAAGGTCCAACTTCTGCGTAAATGCTGGCAGGCTGAAATATCATTCGGACCACTGTTTAACGCATAAATCCTGTAAATATTTACTTATACACGCAAATATAAATACGACCAATGTTTATATATAGGCTCAAGTCAATATTTGCCTGGGGTTTTCATTTTAAAAAGTTCGTATTTTATTCCCATTCCCCACAGACAAGTTGTAGATATGGGGACTAGTTAAGACTTCATAGAGACTTGTAGGTATTACGGTGATTGTAATACAAATGTGGTGTTTTGGTGCCCGGAATATGTATAGTCTGTTTGGGCCAGTCTTCGTGGCTAGCTAAGTTTAAGGTAAGACAGACTGATGACCAGGCTTTCCTATCCCTCTTTTTTGGCCTTGTGTCACTTTTTCTGTTTTTAACACAAATAAATATTATTTGCCTATAGGCTCAAGTAAACGCTACCATTGTTTGCTTATAAACTTAGTACAAACATGACCAATTGTTGACTTAGGTATAAACCCAAATAATTTTTCTTGTGGGCTCAAAGTTAAAACTGACCAGTGTTTATCCATAGATACAAGTAAAAACTCCACAAGTGTTTACAACATGGATGAGAAAGATGGCCCAAATGAATCAATAAGTCATAGTAATAATACTTTGTCTCAAAAATCAAGACTTTTGACAAAAAAAAAAAACAGGGCATTAATTTTCATTTTAATATAAACAAGGGAAGTTTGCAACTATTTGAATAAGAAAGATGTTTTTTTTTACCATTTCACACCAAGCAACGCGATAATACTACTAAGACACAAGAATGTATTAGTTTGGTTTGGTTTGGTTTGGTTTACGACATATCAAAACCTCAATGGGTTATTTAATGCCGAAAAGATTTTTATTGATGGTAATTTTTTTAAAAATGTATTGCTGGTAATATTTTTTTCCAAAAATGTATTGCTGGTATTAAAAACCTATTTTTAACACTTTCATAGTGTTTTGACCCCAGCTAACTATTTGCCCATAGCTGGGCTACCACCCTAGGTCAGGATGGACCTGGGAACGCCAGAAATTAAACCTTCTGATCAGAGGCCTTACTGTTTATCGTCTTGCCCAGGAAGCAGATGTTGTTTATCGTCATACCCAGGACGGCAAGTGTGTCTTAATGTCTGGGGGTGGAATAGAATGAGAATTTAGGAGAAAGAACCGAAAACCCAATCCTAAACAGGAAACAAGGGATAAACCTTTACTTCTGTTCAAAAGACAGAAAGGAGTGTGAACCGGGCGATAATATCGGTTCTTATATATATGGGCGTGTGTGTGTGAGAGAGTGAGAGAGAGAGAAAGAGAGAGAGAAAGGGACATATATTTGAAATTGCCTGCACTTTTATTGTAAGCGATTATATTCGTATACTCTTTGAAATGTGATCTGCTGTAAGCAACGCCAGATAAGAAATAAGAAAACGTATTTTCTTTCGGAATCTGCACCAAGAATCTCGATTTCCAACGAAGAAAATAAGCGAGCGACTCCAATAAAGAGAAATACATGGGGGGAAAAAGCTTAGAAGAAAGAAAGAAAAACACGCCATGAGGAGAAAAAAGTCACAATAACAATTGTTTTGACTATCAGCATTTTTAACTTTTTTTGTGGGGAAGCCAAACGAAACAACAAGGGAAAGAAATGACATAAACAATAGATAAAAAGGAATGGTAAGAGGAGAGAGAAAGAAATGAGGAATAAGAGGGGGGAGCTAAAACTCAAATAGAAAATATAGGAGAAAAAAAAGAGAAGTGATGAAAGAGAAATAGGAAGAGGAAAGGAAGAGGAAACGAGAGAAACACTGAAGAAGAAGAAGAAGAAGAAGAAGAAGAAGAAGAAGAAGAAGAAGAAGAAGAAGAAGAAGAAAGAGAGGGAGTGGAAGAGAAGATTTAAAGAGAAGTGGAGGGAGTGGTTATAGAAAAAGGAGGCCGAAAAAGAAACAATAACAAAAATGAAGAGGAAGAGGAAGAAGAAATAAAAATAATGGGAGGAGAATATTTAACAAGAGGAGAGATGGTGAAGCGGTGTAATAAGAAGGCAAGGGAGTAGCAGAGGAAGAATGAATGACGAAGAGCGTGAGAGAAAAAGAGAAAGGAGAGAAACGAAAAAAAAAAAAGGGAGATACGATGGGATAAGAAGAAGAGAGTGGAGACGAAGGAAAAGACAGAAAAGAATCAAGGGGAACAATAGAGGCGAAATTAAATTTAAAAAAAAAGTATGGCAACCCTGTTTAAGTGAAGGAGCCTGCCTTGTAATGTAGGTAGTAATCGGCAGCCGACACACAGAAACAACACAAAAAATGGCGGCAAATGATCAAAGAATTTGCAGAAAAGGAGAAGAAAGGAACAACAAGGCAATAGGATATTCAAAGGGCAGACAACATCAGATTGCGCGTTGATATATAACACTTCAACATTATGAGAGTAAAATGGCCGCTACAGTGAAGGAGAACATGGTAGAGAAAAAAAGAATAAAAGGAATTGCAATGGAGTAGAAAGAAAAGAACAAGGACCGCCCTAAAAAAAATAACACGATTACGGGGTTGGGGTAGAAGTAAAAATGTTCAAGTATTTTTATTCTTTTCTATTTAAAATGTTTTTAGATAAGATTTTCAGAATTTCTCCTTTCCACTTTCACTCACATACACACACACATTGGACCAAAAGATCTCCTTGTTCTATATGACGTACCCCTCCAAAACGTGGACAATCATAGGCCTCCACAACTTCTTCCTCTTTGTAGCTCTTAGTAGGGTATGTCGTTTAACTATCCTTTCTAATCCCTGTTCTGCCAACCATAAACAAGCTAGTTAACTAAGTTATTTTCTGCTTTTCTCTGTTTTCAATATGTCCTGTGAGTATTAAATTCTCCAATCTCCCTTTCCTCATTACGTACCCTAGAAATTTATCTCTTTCTGATTCCAAGTTTAAGAGTCCTTTTTTGTTCCTATTTTCCTTGAAGTCTTATCGTTGCTCACATATTCAGTCCCTGGTATTCTCAGTCATTTAACCCCCTTCTTCATTTGTACGCAGTGGGACAGCCGGCACAAATGTGCCGGGCCTCGAAACCCGAGGGGCCTCAAGAAAATATCTTTAGGGGTTTAGGGATGGCTTCTTTACAAAAAGTAGAGAGCAAAATCACGAATCGGCATTTTAATGAAAAAAAAATACGAATACTAAAACCAGTTCCAAAGCAGCTTAAAAATTCATTTTCTGAACTTTCGTTGAAGGAAAATGCGCGATGGGTTCCTTCAAGTCTAATTCTCGTGCCAAATCACACTCGATCACAAGGGTTGCCAAGTTAGTAAGGAAGCCTTGAAGCATTGTTGTACGTTGATAGTTCTTTATTCGTTTTAAGGGGTTGAAAGAGTGAATTCAACAAAGTTTTGGGAATGTCAAGTGTCCTATTATTAAAATGACATGCATAAATATTTGTCACAATAAATACAAATAAAGATCTTAATAGAAAAATGATATTTAACATATCACAATCCTACGAGACAGACACGCTTACAGACAGCCTTGTAAGACACGCTAGATCGAGTTTGTCCCAGCGTCTCCTTTTTCTGACCGGGGAGTGCCGAACATCGGAAATTCTCTCCCCGGTACATAACAGTTCAGTATTCTTTTTCTTTGTTTCTAAAGAAAGTTTTCCTGTTCCTTAATACTTTACTTAGCTTTTGGAAGTCATCTTTCGTTATTCCAATGCACGTTCGTATTTCGGTGTCATATTTTCCTTCCTCTGTTAAAACATTTCATAGATACTTAAATTTTCCTACTTGCTTGATTTTGGTGGCACCAATTCGTAGTTCACGTCTTTGACTGTTCCTCTTGCTGACAGCCATACATTCTAACTTCTTACAATTGGTGCTTAGTCCTTTCTTCTCCTTTTCTTTTACTACCTTCTGTACGAGTCCCTGTAGTTTTCTTTCTGTATCAGACATCAAATGTCATCTGCATATCTTATGTGGTTAAGATTGTGGCCGCCAATAACATTCTGGTAGAACTTTTAATTCTCTTAGGATTGCATTGAATGAGGTGAATAAGTCCGGTGAGAAGATACAGCCTTGTCTTATAAAACTTCCAACGATCGTTCATCCGCGCAACCACGCACCAAATATACCACCACTAGAACTACAGACCCCAATTGTGAGGAGTTTGACACCATCGCCGTATTCTTGTATACCTGTATAGGTTTCCTAGGAAGGATATAATTCCTGGCAGTGCCGCCCAATGGCAGGACTTTCAAAAATGTTGTGTATCTCACAGCAGAATTTAATTCCACTGTAGAATTTTGGTAAATTCCTTCCACAGGATTCAGGCACGAGCGGTGATCACAGATAAGAAGGTAAATGCCAAGGAAAATCACAAACACCGTTGTCAACTCAACTACAGGTTTATGACGAGGATACATGTTTGTTTGTTTTTGTTTTTTTGTTTTTGTTTTTTTTTTTTGTTTTTACAGTGAGGTTCACCATATACAATGCCGGGGACACTCGTTAAGGTGTGTAGTTTATATGGATAGGAGGGAAAAATGACGGTTAACTCTAGACTTCAACAAGTTAAGATTATAGTGATCGGGGAAACATCCCCTTGGGAGTCTGTTCCAAAGAGCAGTGGTTTACATGAAAAATCTGTTTGAGTGGAACTTACTTCTCACCGATGGAATACAGAGAGAATGTAGATGATTTGCTGCCATTGTAAGTGGAAGAACGGCTTATAGTCGCGAATGTAGTTCGTCCGAGCATTTTCCATGGACGTAACGATAAAGCAGTGAGAGATTCTTCACATCCCACCTGTGAGAGAGAGGTTGGAGGGTGGAAAATAATTTGTCACACACAAGAAGACTAAGACGTTTTTGAACTCTTATAAGACTGGAAAGTGAGGACGGAGTAACTCCCGCCCAAATATGGCAACAATACTCTATTTCCGGCCTGATCTGTCTCTTCTAAAGGTAGGGAATAACATGAGGAGCCAGTTACTTACTAGAGCAGTACAAGGTCCTGGAGCCACTCGAGGTAGAGGGTTACATTAAGGGGTAGTTTATATGGATAGGAGGGGAAAATAATGGTTAACTCTAGACTTGAAGAGATGAAGATTGTAGAGCCGATCATTTTACCTGCATCTTTAGCTATGGATCGTATAAAAGAGTTCCACTTGAGATCGGGTGTGAGTTTGAGGCTCAATATTCTCTCATGTCACGGTGCTACCTCGAGGGGACATCCATTCATCGTGACTGGCGGTAGTTCGGGGTCTGATCGGCAAGGATGGAAATTGTATATGTATATATAGATGAGTACATAACGTTATTTAGCTTACGGGCATTACCCTCTTCTCGACAGACGTGCGACTTCAGGCAGTGATATTATTTCAATACTATACTTCAAATCGTATTCCTATGTAGGAATGGAAAGAAAGAATTGAGTTCGCTCTTTTTTCGACAACGAAAGATTCGGTAACGGAAGATTCGGTAATTTTGACAAGGTAGAAAAATTCGGCAACTATAAAATAAAAGTCGATTGAAAATTGATTTTAGAACCGTTCGGGAGTGCACCAATTTTTTGAGAACACACGGACCTGTTATTAATTCGTCTCTTTGCCAGGGAGCTTCTAAGTTTTACTGCTTTTTTGGTTGTCTCAGGTTCCAAATCTCTCAGGGCCCTCGTTCATCTCATTTTATAGGGTAAAATTCATTATCTGTCTATATTTCTGAGATGAAGTATTATATATACTATTTACATTATTCAAACTATTGTCCTCATCTTCGTCGCCATAATTAATAATGTAATAATGAATAATGTAAATAGCGTACATAATACCTCATCTCAGAAATAAATATGGCGACAAAGATGAGGACAATAGTTTGAATAATGTAAATAGTGTACATAAAACCTCTTCTCAGAAAAAGGCCGAAAGAATAAATATGAAAGATTGAGGACAATAGTCCGAAACGTTGTGTAATAATACCTCATCTCAAAATATGACAGATACTGAAAGGCCGAAACGTTGTAAAAATATGGCGATGAGGGACAATAGTCCGAATAATGTAAATAGTGTACATAATACCTCATCTCAGAAATATAGACAGATGCTGAAATGGCGACAAAGATGAAAAATAGTCCGAATAATGTAAATAGTGTACAATATGGCGATACAGAAAGGCCGAAACGGACGAACAGATTAGTAGTCCGTATAATATAAATAGTGTGCTAAAATTCATATTTTTTACTTCGTTCTGGTTCTCAATATACCACTCATTTTCCCCAAATTTTTCTGTCTCCTATTCTCAACTAGATCATTCCCCAAATCGCCAATAAACAATCACATGAATTAATAAATATCAGAAATAATAAATATCAATCCCGGGAATTCGCCCTGTTATAGTCTTACGCCCCTTCCTATTCTTATGCATTTACTGAATTCATTTTCTATCCTATGCAGGCGGTTTTCTCCCAGTATAAGTTCTAGATTATTCTAATGTCCTTCCCAAATACATCAAGCTTCCCTAGCAGTTCAAATAGTTCTTTGTGACATAGTTTATCATGTACTTTTGCATAATCTATAAAATAGAGGTATCCATCTGTCTACCTTTGTATTGCTCCTTCTGATATCATTCCCTATTCCAATGTCCTTAACGAACCCGCATTGTGCGATTCTTCTACACCGTCTATTAATCATTTTGTTACATGGCTCATTAGGCTGATTGTCCGAAGGGGTTCACATTCTTTGGATTGATTGATTGATTCGTTTTCTACGGCTTATCAACCTTTTGATGGTTATTTAAAGCCAGAAAATATTTTTAGATTACAAGATTTTTTTTTGGCAGATAATAATGTTTTAGTGATACAAGTCTTACTAATTAACCCCTACTTGGGAGAAAACGAGTGGGTTCATAACTTTCCTAAGGGTATTCGCATTCCTTGTTCCAATGTCTTTAACGAACCCGTACTATTTTCGGTTTGATATTTATTCTTTTCTTCACTAGCTTCTATAGCAGTCCTTTTAGTTTCTGCGTCTGTTATCAATACTGTGTCATCTGCATATCTAATGTTGTTAAGATTGTGGTCGCCAATAATGAATCTTCCGAGGCCTTCTAATTCTCTCAAAACGTTCTTTCAAAACGTTGAAAAAGTCTGGTGGTTAGAAAACTTTGTCCTATAATTTTCTAGCTAAATACTTTAATGTATTCATCCTATCCGTACGCAAGCTGTTTGCTGCCAATATAGCTTCTGGATTATTCTAATATCTTTCCCAAATAAATCAAGCTTCCCTAGCAGTTCAAATAGTTCTTTGTGTCGTACCTTATCAAACGCTTTTACATAATCTATAAAATAGAGGTATCCATCTTTCTACCTTTGTATTGCTCCTTCTGATATCATTCTGAGCATAAATATGGCATTCATTGTTCCGTTGTCTCTAACGAAACAGCAGAATTTACAGTTTTGGGATTGTTTGTTGTAGGCTGATGTTGTTTTCCTTATTTTCCATTATATTTTTGGTGTGATTTTCTTTTTGGTTTTAATCTCCCAGATATGTTTAGGAAGAATTGTGCTGTTCGAGCATTTACTATTTGTAAATTATGTTTTGTGTGTGTAGTTTCTTTGTTGCCAGGATCCTTCAGTAAACTCTGTCTGGAGGAGAAAATAGCTATACTTACCTTCCCATACGAATACAAACTACTAAATAAACGACCAGAAATCAGCTCAAAATGCAGTCATGAAAACAAATTTTTACTACGTTACTTAAAAATCAGTCACTGAAAACGAACAAGAATAAACAAAAATAAATAAATAATAAAATAAACTAAAAAAGACAAAAATAAGCGAAAGAAATCAATCCGAACAAATAAATAAGTAAATAAATTAAGTAAATAATAAGCAAATTAACAATCCACGAACGCACAGATAAACACTAGAAAACGTAGTAATAACAACCAACAATAAAATAACCAATGATAAATTTTTAAAAAGTTAACAAACAACACTATAAATATAAAAAACTGCATCCAGATCCATAATTATTCCCACTGAATAGCCCCTGAAATAATTCAAAACACAACCGTTACCAGCCACAAAATATAACCGTTAGAATAATACAATAGGCTACCCACAATGCACCACTGACCTGTATATATAAATAGTCGAGCAAAAACACAACGCATGGCCTGATGATTGAGTTTAGCATGAAACAGACTGAAGCTCTGAGTATTGACTCCAATGTCCACTTTTATATTTACAAACGCTGTATCCCATAAAATTAGCTTACCTTAAAACTATATTTTATCATTCATATATATATATATATATATATATATATATATATAT